TTTGTGGGGGGGGGGGGGGGGGGGGGGGCACCCTTGAGGAGACACCCTCCCTCTTAACCGCCGGCCAGGCCTGAGGCTTTTTGGCTTAGAAGGACAAGTGCAGGGAGGGGCACCTCGCAGGCTGGCCCTGTTTCAGGAGGGGGAAGCCCTACGGCTCCCTGGGGGCGCTCATGGACGCCGCCGTGTCAGCGTGAAAGGGTCAGGGTCAGGGTCGGGAGAGGGGCTTTATTAACGGGCGGGAGTGAAGCCACAGCCGGGGCCCAGTCTGTCTGTGCTCTGCACTGTCCTTTTGCTGCTCTTTGCTTTCTCTGCTGCGGGTGTATATTTGGGTGAAACTGCCAGTTGGTAACCGGGGTGCCTCTCAGCCTCACGGCAATTCCCCACTGCTACGTCGAGTGCGGCATCTCCGCGTGAGGACGCAGCAGCAGGTCGGGGTGGGGGGGACCTGTGCCGACTCAGGCTTCGATCTCGTCCCGAGGAGGAGCATTTCCAGGGGCAGGGGGTGCACGCGGCGGTGCCCGCACCCCCACAGGGCGTTCAGATACCGCTTCCTGGAGGGCCAGGGGCTCCAGGGCCGGATCTGTTACACGTAGGGGGCCCCTATTGAGAACTTCCAGGGGCCTTGGTTACTGGTTGTACTGGTGCACTGGGCACCAGCAGGTAAAGGCAGCCCCTGGCGAGACCCTGAGGATGCCTCCTCCACTACTGCCAGGCTTGCTACTCAAAATCAAGAAACGGTCCAGGGCGTCACCCGCAGGGAGCGGGGAGCCACCCCTCTGGCCCCCAGACCTCGGTCCTGGAGAGAGGTGGGCCGTGCGCACGGCGGGCATTTAAGAAACCTGCAAACTCCGGTGCTCAAGTAGGGCTGAAGGATGCTCCCCAGTTCCCACTCCGGAGGGCCCGTCTCCCCTCCGTGCCTGCCCCACGGCTGTGGGCACACCTGTCAGGGGAAGGCTCATTTGAACCACTCTGATACAGCAGCTGAGCTGAGATGGTAAAGCAGCTCCACCCAGAGGGCATTTGAGTTGTTTAATTAGGACCTTCAGGGGGGAGAGGGGTTTTTTGTGAAGCGGGTCGGTATCTCACAGGAGCACGTGGCACTTCCTCTAAGGTGACTTTGCGTGGCGCCGGGCCTGTGACCCTGACTGGGTCGACTGGGGCAGGACAGTTGGGAAGTGACCTTGTTCATCGGGCTTTGTGAGGCAGAGGCAAGTTAATCCCCCAGAGTGACAGCAACTGCTTTAAACCCAGGCAGCCTTTAACAGGGGGCCTCTCTGAGCCAGAGGGTGGGTGTCAGCACCACCCTCCTGTGGGGACACCCCAGCGATTCCCAGGTAGTTGGGATGTAGTTTTAAAAGGAAGGCTCTGCAGGCAGCTGTGTGTGTCGTCAGAAGCACACAGATGGGTGGGCAGCGAGAACGGGGGACAGAACACACCAGAGAGAAGAGGTTTCTGCACGCGGCACTTACTTCTGTTCAGCACGACCCTCTTCTGTTACCACCCATCATGGGAGCAAATGGAAATGACAAAATGGAATGGGTTGAGGCAACACTGCAAAATTAATTACAGTTAAAAAAAAAAGAAGCTGTTTTCGATGGATGAAATTAAAGCAATGGCACAGATGCTGGCTGAGAGTCTACCCGCGCTGCTCCTTTTCTGGCCACGGAGTAGAGAGGGCTACTGCTGCCCGGAAGCAGAGCTTCCGGTCTGCCCAGAGCTGCCCGGAAGAGACCGTCACAAGGGGCGTCACTTTCATATTTAGGATGGGAAACTCACACCTGTGCCTTCCTTGGCTGGGGATGATGTGAACAGAGAGAGAGGCATCCAGGAAAACGTTAAGAAGGAGAATGACGTTCGCCTCTGCTTCAAGTCCCCTGAGAGCCAGTTCATTGCTGACACCCAGACTCGGGTTCCCGGGCTGCCTTTGTCTTCTGCAGCTCAGGAAGGACAAAGCAGCGTTCCTGCTTGGGGGAGGCCGTGCTTTGCGTCAAGTCTACACCGAGAGAGGAGAGCCCGGCAGCTAATAAAGGGGGTTGTCAGATCTGGCCCCATGCTTGGGGCCACCCACGGCCCTGCGGAACGTCGCCGTGGAAAGGAACCAGCGTGTCTGAGGAGCCGAGTGGAGGCCTGCCCGGGGCCGGTCCACCCTGCCCTCCTTCTCAGTGGTTTGACTGATTGACTCTCAGTTAATCAGGCGGATATCATTCACTGGATCTCCTGGTTGCAGAGATCATTATGTTGCTAAGCAACCACTGGGTTCCCGGGTGGAACACACAAGAATCTGTTGCCCCGATTTAGAACACAGACACATACACACGCACACACACGCCCTCTCTTGGACTGTTACTCTCTATCCTGCCTCTGCAATCCAATCCATACGGGAACATGAGGATTAAAAACAAAAATGGAGGGTTAACTGACACCCCAAAATGCGCTGTTATCTTATCGGTCAGCCCGAGTTGACCGGGGTCGGGGAAGTGAGGACTCAAGTAGCCTTTCCACTGTGTTCACAAATGCAGTCCGGCTGTTGAGCAGTGGCCGGCTGTGGGCCCGAGGCTGCTCAGGGAGCCGGCGCTGGGGTTCTGGGCCCTTCCCGCCCAAGCCTCTCTCCAGCACGCCCGCTGGACCTCGGCCTTCTAGTGACTGTAGGGTTTTCGTGAGGAGCCCCTGTCTTGCGTGTAAAATGGCACTTATTTCCAGACTGCTCTCTTCTTAGTTTCTATCTTTATAGCACCTCCAAAGGCCGGTCGTTCAGAAGACGGGGAAAGTGGCCCGAGGCGTTAACAGATCTGCACAAGGCCTGAGCCTGGCCCTGGTTCCCGGCTCTGAGCACCGCGAGCCCCTGTGTGTCTGCAGTCCTGGGCCTGGCCCGCAGGAACGGCGGATGGATGTGGGAAGCTGGCTTCCCAGATCAGGAAGTGACGTGGCTCGGCCAAGCAGACGGGGCTGGAACTGGGCGGGGGCAGGGGGCTGCCTCGGCTTCCGCAGCCCTTTCGACACATCTGAGCAGGTGGGAAGGCACCCAGTTTTCAGCGGGAGGTTGTCCACCCCCCGATACACTTCGGCTGAGTGGTCCTGGCGTCCAGACTGGGAAGTGAGAGCGTGAGAAACAGACTTGAAGGATAAGATGCCACAGCCTGACCAGAAGAGCCCCTCCACGAACCCGTGTACGAGGAGACACGTGACAGCGAGCTTCACGACCACCCTCCCTAGTGTCCACCGCCTTATCCACGACTTCAGTCACTGACACTACCTGAACGTTTCAGTTGCTGCCGTGAAATGGTAAAGCCTCCGTGACGGCGCTGACGTGATGAAAGTGCCATTACGCCGCTTCTATCATCGAGTCAGTTTTGAAAAGTCTTTGCTCTGGGACCGGCTGGGCAGAGATCATTTTTTTAACAACCCAGATAGATTTCTTTTAAAACTGAGAGGCTCTCAGGATAATACTGTGGAGAGCCAGTGAGGAGCTGGTGCCACTGGCCAGGCCAGGCCAGGGCAGCCGGAGGCCGGAGGGCATTGCCTGAGAAGCGGCCAGCGCTCCCCTGCAAGCAGCCTGAACCCCCAGGGGACCTGGAGCGCCGTCGCTGCCTCCGGGGAGTGAAGGCCAGTCTGGATGAACCGAAAAGAGCGAGGCGATCGGAGGGGCTCCTGGGGGGTTGAGCCGACGCCGTGCGCCCTGGACGGAGGCCAGTGGGTCCCCCGCAGGCATCCACTCACAGCTCTGATACTCCTCCCAACAGCCGGAGAATGAAAGCCAAACCCAGACTGACCTTCCGCTCCCCTGGGAGTGCCGACAAAGAACAGATGCCTGGGTTTCCTAGGTCAAGCCCCTTTGTTTTGTGTCAGACGCCATCATCTACCCGCTGTCTCCGGAGCAGAGGACCCTCCGGGACCCCGCATGGGCCCGCTCGTGGGCTTCCCTGTGTCACTGTGACCCACCTGACTGCATAGCTGCTGGGTCACCTTCATGAAACGAAAGTTCACACCAAGCCTTTGCTCAAGCCCTCGATAGCTGCCACCACTCAGACGCAACCCAGCCCCAGCCCTCGCCCTCGGCACGCGGGACCCCTCTGGGACCCTTCCCCCATCAGCCCTGCCTCTGGTCTGGCCGGTTTCTTCAGCGTGGAGAGCACTCGCCAGTGCCTGGGCTTTGTGCTCGCTGGCCCTGGTGCCCGGCGTGCTCTGCTCCTGCGTTTCTGCCCAGCGGCGGCTCCTTTTACTGCCTCAGGTGGTTCAAATGCCACTTCCTTAGGGAGGGTCACCTCCGTCCTGCCCATGGCCGCTGACTCGTTGGGACATCTTCGTCCCTTTGCAGCGCCTGCGCACTTTGGGTTCGTCTCCTTTACTGTTTCTTATCCATCCCCCCTGGAGAATGTAGCCCTTCAGAGGAGGAGAGACCTTGAATGTTTTCTTGTTCAGTGAGGAATCCTGGGGCCCGGCCCTCTGAGGTAATCAGTAACCCCTGGTCCAGTGAACAATTCATGACTAAGTCTGCGCCCAGCTTCCCGGGGCCCAGGCCTCCTTGACCGTGCACCCCTTTTGTTACTGTTCTCCCTCAGGTCTGACCCTGGGCTCCTACCAAGAGCCCGTCAGGAGGCCACGGGGCTGGGCTGTGGCTCGTTTGGCTTCCCGGCTCTGTGACTTCGTGGAAAACACCAGGTGCTCTGAAACGAGGCGAAGGCTGCTCGTGTGTCTAGATTTCCAAAGGGCTCCGCACGGCGGGCCGCCCGCTGCGGGGCAAGGCCGTGCTCGTCGTGGGTGTCGGCAGTGCCCTCGCGCCTCTCCGGCCCCTCTCTAGCTCTGAGGTTTGCAGGGAAGGTCCGGGCCTGCAGGACGCCAGCCGCCTGTGCCGGGCCTCCAGCCCGTGGGGTAGCTTGGGGCGGTGCTGGGTAGGAGAAGCAGCCGATCGCCCCAGAGGCCTAGGTCTTAGGAGGTGTTTCCAGATCAGGCCTGGGGGGATGCCGCGAACGCTAGGTCATAAAGAAAATGACGTGATCGTCGTCTTTTCGTCTTTTCGCCAACGTGTCTGTAATCAAGATGTCGGCAGAGCCCGCGTCGTCCCTGATTTCGGGGGACACGGGATAGCAGCAGAAACCCATGCACGGCTCAGGTTACGTCAGACGCACCCCAGCACGCGAGGCCCTAGTCGTTCAGTGCCCTGTCCTCCCCGGCCCTGCCCAGGGTCACCGCACCTCAGAGCTCAGAAAGAACCCGAGGGCAAAAGTACCTAACCAAAGGGGCAGGTTCACCTGAGGTTTCTGCCCTCTTAGCGGACAAACGATTGTGGAGCAGCTCAAAGAACTGTCCCTTTCTTGGGCGATCAAACTTCCTTCTGTGGAAATGGGGTGTCTGCACTGCTGCTTGTCTGTCATTTCAGAGCACAGCCGGTTTTCAGTTTTCCCTAGAAAAACTCATTTCTTTTCCCTCGCTAGGAATTTCCTTCATCCAGTTTCGTGCCTCATTTTGCCCTGGCCATTCACAGCTTTTAATTTGTAGATGCATTTAAAAGTAGCAGTGAGACACCCAGGCAGGTGAGCGCTGGCTGGGGGTGTCCTGGGCTTTGTCTGCTGCCTGAATGGCTGAATCCCAGGCCTCTCAATGAAGGCACGACCCAGCAAAGCGGAGGCCTGTCCCAGGGGGAGTGTGTGTGTGTGTGTGTGTGTGTGTGTGTATTTGGATTATTTCTTTTTTCCCTAAGCCATCCCCTGCCCCGCAAACTATCTCATATATAGTAGCTGCCTGATAGATAATTGTTGTGTGAGTGAAGCTTTTGTCTCAGGGAGAATTTTATATGTGCCCACTAAGGTCCACATTCATGTATTCATTTTAACAAACATTATTGGGCACTTACTTTGTGCCAGGCAATGTTCAAGAGAAAAGAATCTCTGCTTTCACAGAATTCCACTCTAGCTAGCTTGGACCCAAGGTATCTACTTGGTGACTTATTTCTGCTGCCATTATTTATTTGTATAGACTCTTTTACTACACAGGGAACCTCCCGAAATAATTCTATTTTGTGTTTAAAATCTAAGAGAGAGAGAGAGGGAGAGGGAGAGGGAGAGGGAGAGAGGGAGAGAGAAGGAAAGTGCAGTTGAGTGCTGCCTGCTCATGAGAAAGACCTGGTGCCCGGTGCTCGGTCACCCGCTCGGGGGGCTCTGCTGAGGAGCTGCCCCCTTCTTACCCTGGTCAGTCCACCTCCTGGCTGTAGCTCACGTCCACTGGGCTTTGCCCGATGAGGCCGTGAGATCGGAAAAGCCAGAGTAGGCAGGCGAGTGTCCAGCTTAGTGCCTGGAGTCAGTGACTGACCTTTCTCGTCGTCCTTGGGCCTCAGGCCGACCCGTTCCTCGTCCAACTCAGTGCAGCCCTTAGCAGTGAGTAGGGAAGGGGAGGGGACACCGCCTCGGGGAGGTCACCAGCGCTGGAGGCCGCCCGGTGACCACCCTTGCAGATTACCAGTCACCAGGTAGGCAGGGAAGACTTCTGGGTGCTCAGCTGGACTCAAGGGGTGGTTCCGAAGGCCTGAGAATAGCCCTGCCCCGGTGAGCTCGGCCCTGCGGATGATCGGTTAGGTAGTGGCGCCTTTCTTCCAGGCTAATCCCTGGCTCCAGTGAGAGAGGCGGAGTCGAAGCCTGAGGCAGCTCCTTAGGTCAGAGTGTTTCTGTGCCTTCCAGCCGAGTGCCCATGGTCAGGGGCTTCACCTCTGACCCCCGGTTCACTCATCTGCACCGTGGGGGCAGGTTCAGGCCCTGCCTCCGGTGCCTGTGCCGCATGATGCCCGGCATTTGGTGAGTGCATAATAGATGTCAGCTAATGCTTGTACCATGATGGACTGGGGTATAGATAATAGAAGAGACTGGGGGTGGCTGTTCCTGGCAGCTGAGCTTGGGTCGGACAGAATCGGTCTTGCAGCTGCTCTCAAGAAGTCCGACAGGATTCTGCCCGCTGACCCCTGCTCTCAGGCCCCTCCCACCCAGGGAAACCGTAGCGACACCTGCAACTCGGAGACGCCCTCTCCTGTGAGCCCCAAGGAGCTCACCCAGCCAGGAGAGGAGCTGGGGAGGCCTACAATCTGATGCCGTTCAGGGAGGCCCCTGGACTCCTGTGTGGGAGTGCTCCGGGGAGCACGGCGCCGTGCAGGCTGCCCCACTGGCCAGAGCAGCCCTAGAATTGGTGCCCTTCTGCATCTTCCACACTTCAGACATCGCTAGTGGTGGGAAGTGCCAGTCAGAAGTCCTGGCTCTATCTTCTGCTGGCTGTGCACAGGGACAAGTCACTTGGCCTCTCTGAGTCTCCATTTCCCCTTCTGAAAAATGGGTATAATTATACATGCTCTCTAGCAGCTGTTAGAAAGATTACTCACCATGTCCAAGTGTTTTGTGAAATATGAAACACAGTGATAGAGCATCTTAATTGTTGTGCGTCTACGTAACCTAGCAGCTAAAGACTGGTACTCTTACGTGATGGAGCCGGTTTTAAACATTTCCTTGAGACTTTCAAGCACGTAATACTCGTAGGTACGTGTGTACGTACGTCCACCAGAAACAGGGAATTTGTAAGGAATCTCTGTTCAGCTGGAGTGCCCTTTGAACGCCACTAATGATGGGCGCCCCACTGAAAGACGGTGGTGTCGGCGTGCTTCTCTCTACCGAGGCTGGCCCATCAGCATTCCTCGGAGGAGTAGTGGGAGCTGTGCACGTAACTTACGCCCGCACCGAAAGATAACCGGGAAGGTGGTGGCTCTCAGCCTGCTCTCAGGACCCGACCGTAGTTGCGATACTGTCGATTAATGGACTGAGATGTTTGAATCCAATGCCTGCCCAGCAGGAGTATGAAGAACGACGTCATTAGTTGAGATGATGAAAGCTGAGAGTAAACATCAGTGGGGGAACGTGAAGAGCCCTGCTGCCTGGGGACCCGAGCAGTGGCGTGTGTCTTGGGCGAAGGGAACCGAGAACCATGAGTGATGGCCGGAGGCACCGGGCTCTGGCGAGGGTCATCCACCAGCTACGGGCGGGGCGGGGCGGGGCAGGGCGGGGGTG